CCGGGGTCTCCAAACCTCCAAAACAAAGGACCAGTTTAAACTTTAGGGGGGCCGAACGGTGGCCAGTGGGAGAAGAAAATGTCCTGGCGTCAGTAAGAGTAAGCAATGCCATAGGCTTGATGGTCAGTGGGAGTAAAAAAAAAATGACATCATTGGTGTCAGTGGGAGGAATAGTGCCCCATCGTTGGTGTCAGTGGGAGGAATAGTGCCCCGTCGTTGGTGTCAGTGGAGGAATAGTGCCCATCATTGATATCAGTGGGAGGAATAGTGTCCCATCATTGGGGTCAGTGGGAGGAATAGTGCCCCATCATTGGTGTCAGTGGGAGGAATAGTGCCCCATCATTGGTATCAGTGGGGAATAGTGCCCCGTCATTGTGGAGGAATAGTGTCCCATCATTGGTGTCAGTGGGAGGAATAGTGCCCCATCATTGGTGTCAGTGGGAGGAATAGTGCCCCATCATTGGTATCAGTGGGAGGAATAGTGCCCCGTCATTGATATCAGTGGGAGGAATAGTGCCCATCATTGGTGTCAGTGGGAGGAATAGTGCCCCATCATTGGTGTCAGTGGGAGGAATAGTGCCCCATCTTTTGTATCAGTGGGAAGAATAGTGCCCCATCATTGGTGTCAGTGGGAGGAATAGTGCCCCATCATTGGTATAAGTGGGAGGAATAGTGCCCCATCATTGGTATCAGTGGGAGGAATAGTGCCCCATCTTTTGTATCAGTGGGGAAGAATAGTGCCCCATCATTGGTGTCAGTGGGAGGAATAGTGCCCCATCATGGGGTATCAGTGGGAGGAATATGTGTCCCATCATTGTTGTCAGTGGGAGGAATGGTGACCCATCATTGTTGTCAGTGGGAGGAATGGTGACCCATCATTGGGGTCAGTGGGAGGAATGGTGACCCATCATTGGGGTCAGTGGGAGGAATGGTGACCCATCATTGGGGTCAGTGGGAGGAATGGTGACCCATCATTGGGGTCAGTGGGAGGAATGGTGACCCATCATTGAAGTCAGTGGGAGGAATAGCGCCCCATTGTTGGTGTCAGTGGGAGGAATAGCGCCCCATCGTTGGTGTCAGTGGGAAGAATTGTACCCCAAGGGCTAGATAAAGGCAAGCAAAGGGCCATATCTGGCCTGCGGACAACAGTTTTGAAGACCCCTGTGTTGGACCATAATGTGTATATATTTGTATGTATATTTCTAGATATACCCACAAAGGTGGGGTTCCCCTTTTTAAAAGCTGTTTTTAGGGAATAACAGCCTCCGCTCTTTTAGGAAGGCTTTCCATAACATTTAGAGCGTGTCTGTGGGAATTTGTGCCCACTCAGCCAAAAGAATATTTGTGATGTATTATGAGAAGACCTGTGAAGGTCACTTGAGCTCCTCCTCCACCCTAAACTCCTCCAACCATGTCTTTATGGAGCTGGAGTTGTACATCGGGGAACAGTCCTTTTTGCTGCAAGGTTGGAAGAGCACAAATGTCTTTTGTATGCTATAGCAATAATGGCAACCTCTGAACCATGTGGGGGGGGGGGGGGGGGGGTGAGCACAGGCTGACCATGTGGAGGAGGTGAGCACAGGCTGAACCATGTGGAGGGGGTGAGCACAGGCTGGACCATGTGGAGGGGGTGAGCACAGGCTGAACCATGTGGAGGGGGGGGTGAGCACAGGCTGGACCATGTGGAGGGGGTGAGCACAGGCTGGACCATGTGGAGGGGGTGAGCACAGGCTGGACCATGTGGAGGGGGTGAGTGAGCACAGGCTGGACCATGTGGAGGGGGGGTGAGCACAGGCTGGACCATGTGGAGGGGGTGAGCACAGGCTGGACCATGTGGAGGGGGTGAGCACAGGCTGGACCATGTGGAGGGGGTGAGCACAGGCTGGACCATGTGGAGGGGGTGAGCACAGGCTGGACCATGTGGAGGGGTGAGCACAGGCTGGACCATGTGGAGGGGTTGAGCACAGGCTGGACCATGTGGAGGGGTGAGCACAGGCTGGACCATGTGGAGGGGTTGAGCACAGGCTGGACCATGTGGAGGGGTTGAGCACAGGCTGGACCATGTGGAGGGGTTGAGCACAGGCTGGACCATGTGGAGGGGTTGAGCACAGGCTGGACCATGTGGAGGGGTTGAGCACAGGCTGGACCATGTGGAGGGGTTGAGGCTGGACCATGTGGAGGGGTTGAGCACAGGTGGACCATGTGGAGGGGTTGAGCACAGGCTGACCATGTGGAGGGGTTGAGCACAGGCTGGACCATGTGGAGGGGTTGAGCACAGCTGAACCATGTGGAGGGGTTGAGCACAGGCTGAACCATGTGGAGGGGGTGAGCACAGACTTGTGGCCTCACAGTATGTTTCATGGGCGGTGTTGTTTTTTTTTTATTTTTTTTGCTACACCAGCCCAGAGTTCTCCTATGCAAGCTGCGGTGTTTCCTTTCCAAATTCTTTACACGTGAGAAATGCCCTCAATTCATATCTGCACTAAATGAAATAAACACGGCCGGTGAACTTTTTGAACCTGCAGAATCTGAGCTGCCTAATGCCGACCTTTCATGGGTCAAAATTTGACCGATTGTTCGTCCGAATAAGAATAATCGACCGATTTTCGCTGTTAGTGGGGGTCAATGGCACCAGACGATTTTCATGGTTCCTCCCCTTTTCGGTGATCAGGCATTTCGGAAAATTTTGTGATTTTTGACTCAATGGTCAAATCGTACGATCGTTTTTCCAAAAAGAATATGCCCATGAGCCGTGACCTGGAAGGATCAGAAATTTCGCCTGTTGTATGGGGTGAACTTAATGACTCGGTCGGCCGATTTTCAAAATCATTGATGGCGCCATCGGATTACCGAGCGGATGACCGTTCTGATTTTTGGACTAAAAATCATTCGGAATTCAAACCACGTATGGCCTGCATAAGAATAATCGGCCGATTTTCGCTATGTTAGTGGGGTCAATGGCACCAGCGGATTTTCGCTATGTTAGTGGGGTCCATTGCACTGGCCAATTTTCGTGGTTCCTCCACTTTTCAGTGATCGGGCATGTTTGAAAATTCGTGAAAAAAAATAAAGATTTTCGACTAGATGGTCAAATCGTACGATCGTTTTTCCAAAAAGAATATGCGCATGAGCCGTGACCTGGAAGGAACAGAAGTTTCACCTGTTTATATGGGGTGAACTTTTTATGACTGTTGGTTGATTTTCGAAATCATTGATGTCGCCATCGGATTACCAAGCAAACGACAATTTTGATTTTTGGACTAAAAATCGTTCGGAATTCGAACCATGTATGGCTTGCATAATAATAATCATTTGATTTTCGCTCTGTTAGAGCGAAAATCCTCTGGTGCCATTGACCCCACTAACATAGTGAAAATCGGCCGATTATTCTTATGCAGGCCATGCATGGTTTGAATTCCGAACGCTTTTTAGTCCAAAAATCAAAATGGTCGTTCGCTCGGTAATCCAATGGTGCCATCAATGATTTCAAAAATCAGCCGACCGAGTCAAAAGTTCATCCCATATAGCAGGTGAAACTTCTGTTCCTTCCAGGTCACGGCTCATGCGCATATTCTTTTCGGAAAAACGATCGTACGATTTGACCATCATTGAGTTGAAAATCGGTTATTTTTCACGAATTTTCAAACCTGCCCGATCACCGAAAAGGGGAGGAACCACGAAAATTGCCCGGTGCCATTGACCCCACTAACAGTGGGTCAATGGCACCAGCGGATTTTCGTTCTGTTAGTGGGGTCAATGGCATCGGCCAATTTTCGTGGTTTTCCTCCCCTTTTCGGTGATCGGGCATGTTTGAAAATTCGTGAAAAACAACCGATTTTCGACTCGATGGTCAAATCTACGATCGTTTTTCTGAAAAGACTATGCGCATGAGCCGTGACCTGGAAGGAACAGAAGTCTTGGCTGTTATATGGGGTGAACTTTATGACTTGGTCGGCCGATTTTCGAAATCATTGATGGCACCATCGGATTACCGAGCGGACGACCGTTCTGTTGGACTAAAAATAGTTTGGAATTCTGATTTTTGGACTAAAAATAGTGCGGAATTCAAACCATGAATGACCTGCATAAGAATAATCGGCCGATTTTCGCTATGTTAGTGGGGTCAATGTCGCAATCAATGGCAACAGCGGATTTTCGCTATGTTAGTGGGGTCAATGGCACCAGCCAATTTTCATGGTTCCTCCCCTTTTTGGTGATCGGGCATGTTGGAAAATTCATGAAAAACAACCAATTTTTGACTCAATGATGGTCAAATCGTACGATCGTTTTTCCGAAAAGAATATGCGCATGAGCCGTGACCTGGAAGGAACAGAAGTTTCACCTGTTATATGGGGTGAACTTTATGACTTGGTCAGCCGATTTTCGAAATCATTGATGGCGCCATCGGATTACCGAGCGGACGACCACTCTGATTTTTGGACTAAAAATCGTTCGGAATTTGACCCATGTATGGCCTGCGTTATTTCCTGGAAAATTCTGACATTTATATTTTAATACAGCCATTGAGTGTTCACACAATTTTTTAGCTTTGACTACAGATGTCTTCAGGCAGCGGTTTCTAGCTATTTGCAGCGTTGTAGTCTCGTTTCAAGGTTGCTTGTGATGCAATAGGTCATTCCGTAGACAGGCCGGTTCTCAAGCAACTTATCACAACTGTTCCGAGCATGAAGATGCAGGATCCCCATCCGAGTCCATAGCCCCAGCTAAACTGGGAAGACAGGGGGAGTAACGGTGCTGCCAGGAGAAGTGAGAAGAGCAGGAGAGCACTTATCTGCAAGAGAACTTCACAGACAGAATCGTGTTAGTAAATGCAAAACCGAGGGAAACCGATGCAGTCGGGTCTTTCACTTTACTTCAGACTATAGGAGGGCCAGGTGGGCGGCCAATGGGAATAGAAAAGGAGTGGGAGGAAAAAAAAAAAAAGCACCAGAGTTGGGGGTCACTGAAAGTAAATGACCTACCTCAAAAGCGCAACCTTATCCTTTTAAACTGTAGTGAATGCAGGGTCCGGGGAGAGCGGATGTGGTGAATGCGGGGTCCGGGGAGAGCGGATGTGGTGAATGCGGGGTCCGGGGAGAGCGGATGTGGTGAATGCGGGGTCCGGGGAGAGCGGATGTGGTGAATGCGGGGTCCGGGGAGAGCGGATGTGGGGAATGCGGGGTCCGGGGGGAGAGCGGATGTGGTGAATGCGGGGTCCGGGGAGAGCGGATGTGGTGAATGCGGGGTCCGGGGAGAGCGGATGTGGTGAATGCGGGGCCCGGGGAGAGCGGATGTGGTGAATGCGGGGTCCGGGGAGAGCGGATGTGGTGAGGGAGAGCGGATGTGGTGAGTGCGGGGTCTGGGGAGAGCGGATGTGGTGAAGTGCGGGGTCCGGGGTGAGCGGATGTGGTGAATGCGGGGTCCAGGGAGAGCGGATGTAGGGAATGCAGTGCGGGGTCTGGGGGACCGGGGAGAGCGGATGTAGGGAGGGAGAGCGGATGTAGTGAGTGCGGGGTCCGGGGAGAGCGGATGTAGTGAGTGCGGGGTCCGGGGAGAGCGGATGTAGTGAGTGCGGGGTCCGGGGAGAGCGGATGTAGTGAGTGCGGGGTCCGGCATTTAGTAACACTTTAAATTGTGGCGTGTTACCATGCAGAAAGTGTGGCGCAGCCCCAGGATTCTCATATGTAGACCTCTCATACGGAACATATTACCTGATATAATGAGTAGAAAGGACAAATTGCGGAACTTCAGAGGCTGCTTCACTTGGCAGATCCACAACACGCAAACTATGAACCACAGGCCAGAGATAAGTGTGGCACATAACACCAGGATAAGGGAAGCCACTTGCCAGTCTGAAAATAACAAAAAACATTGTTAAAGAGAATATTGTAACAAGTGCAAATAAAGAGGGGATTATGGTGGGGGATTGTTTCTCAGGGGTTGGGTTTGGCCCCCTAGTTCCAGTGAAGGGAAATCAAACTTTACACTTGGCACAATGCAGTCAGGCAAGTACCATCCTCCTGGCCACCAGCAAACCCAGACACGTCCATCGGATTGCCAGAGAAGCGTGATTGTTCACTCCAGAGAACACGCCTCCATGCTCTAGAGTCCAGTGGCAGCATGCTTTACACCACGGCATCCGACGCTTTGCATTGCACTTGGTGATGGAAGGCTTGGATGCAGCTGCTCGGCCATGGAAACCCATTCCATGAAGCTCTCTGCGCACTGTTGTTGGGGTCATCTGAAGGTCACACCAAGTTTGGAGGTCTTTAGCTATTGACTCTGCAGACAGTTGGCGACTTCTGCGCACTGTGCGCTTCAGCATGCGCTGACCCCGCCCTGTCATGTGACGTGGCCTACCACTTGGTGGCTGAGTTGCTGTTGTTCCCAGTCGCTTCCACTTTGTTATAATCCCACTAACAGTTGAACGTGGAATATTTAGTAGCCAGGAAATGTCACGGATGGACTTATTGCACAGGTGGCCACCTATCACGGGACCACGCTTGGAGTCACTGAGCTCCTGAGAGCGACCCATTCTTTCACCAATGTTTGTAGAAGCCGTCTGCATGTCTAGGTGATGATTGTATACACCTGTGCCCATGGAGGGGATTGGAACACCTGAGTCACATGATTGGGAGGGGATTGGAACACCTGAATCACATGATATGGAGGGGATTGGAACACCTGAATCACATGATATGGAGGGGATTGGAACACCTGAATCACATGATATGGAGGGGATCGGAACACCTGAATCACATGATATGGAGGGGATCGGAACACCTGAATCACATGATATGGAGGGGATCGGAACACCTGAATCACATGATATGGAGGGGATCGGAACACCTGAATCACATGATATGGAGGGGATCGGAACACCTGAATCACATGATATGGAGGGGATCGGAACACCTGAATCACATGATATGGAGGGGATCGGAACACCTGAATCACATGATATGGAGGGGATCGGAACCCCTGAATCACATGATATGGAGGGGATCGGAACCCCTGAATCACATGATATGGAGGGGATCGGAACCCCTGAATCACATGATATGGAGGGGATCGGAACCCCTGAATCACATGATATGGAGGGGATCGGAACACCTGAATCACATGATATGGAGGGGATCGGAACACCTGAATCACATGATTGGGATGGGATTGGAACACCTGAATCACATGATTTGGAGGGCGGGGCCAATACTTTAGGCAACATAGTGTATACTTGCCTAAGGCCGGTCATAAATGGATCGATTTCTGAACAATTTTTCATTCGTAAATCAAACCTAAGAATATTCGACCGATTTTTCGCTCTGGTAGTGGGGTAGTGGCACCGGCTAATTTTCGTGATTCCTCCCCATTTCGTTTATCAGGCATGTTAGAAAATTCATGAAAAATGAACGATTTTCGAAATCATTGGTGGCACCATCGGAATACAGAATGAAACAACGAAAAAAATCGTACAGAATTCAACCCATGTATGGCCTGCTTAACCCTTGGTGCACACTCGCCTGCACTGTGCGGGGTGGTTGCAGGTGCGGAAATCCTGCGGGGATCATCAACTTGCTTTAAAACTTTCCTTTTTTTGTGGAGCTCGTGGAGAGGTTCTGGGGTCACCACGTGCGATAGGTGTCACCCGGTACGGCACACGCCCCCCGCACCTGCCTAGGGACGCCACTGGCTCTGGACATCCCAGATCACGAGATAGAACAAGCCACAAAAATGCAGAATATTTGCTTTGCAAAGCAAACATTAAAAGGTCAGCAATCCGTTCAGATATCTGTCCATGACATGCAGGAACGCATCTCAGGCCAACATATTCCAAAATACAGTTCACATGGATAGAGGCGCTCCCTGGGATGGATTAAAGTGGATGCAAAGCCAGGAGGGTATTTTACTTTAATGCATTCTCAGCTGGGGGGGAGCTTTTGTTTAGCTCCCCCCAGCCCCTCATAAACACTTAAAGTGATACTAAATGTTAATTTTTTTTTTTTTTTTTTTTTTTTTTTTGTAACCACAAAATTTATCCCCCCAAATGCTTTTATACCCAAATGAAATTTTACATCCTGTTTTTTTTTTTTTTTTTTTTTTTCCCCACCAATAGACCCCCATGGAAGAAAAATATATTTGAAGTATTTTTAAAAAAATATTCTTCCCAAATACATTGCCGTATATTTGAAATACTAAAATTTTGGCCATATTCAATAAATTTCGGATAAAAAAAAAATATAAATATATATATATACCCACACATACACCGCATGTTGAAATGCGTTTTTTTTTTTTTATAAAATATATGAAAAATATATTTTAAACATACCTTTCAAATATCCTGTATGTCTTTAAAAATACAAATCTACATTTTTGGAATGCATTTCTAAATATATGTTAAAATGACTTATGTTAAAAAAAAAATCTGAAGAGTATATTTTAAAAAAAAAAAAAAGTGTTTTTAAAAATATATTTTGTTTTAAATATATTCAGATTTTTTTTTTTAACATATAAAAATGTTATTTTAACATATTTGTAAATTCATTCCAAAAATGTAGATTTGTATTTTTAAAGACAGTGTATTTTGAAATGTATTTTTAAAAATGTTTTTCATATACTGTAATAATACATTTCAACATGCAGTGTGTGTATTCGAAATGTATTTTTTAAAAATATTACACACACACAGAAATGTGTTATTACAAAGTATATGAAAAAACATTTTTAAAAATACATTTTAAATACAGTGTCTTTAAAAATACAAATCTACATTTTTTTGAATGAATTTACAAATATATTAAAATAACATTTTTATATGTTAAAAAAAAAAAAATCTGAAGAGTATACTAAAAAAAAAAAAAAAGTTTTTAAAAATATATTTTGTTAAAATAACTTTTTTTATATGTTAAAAAAAAAAATCTGGAGTATATTTTAAAAAAGTGTTTTTAAAAATATATTTTGTTAAAATAACTTTTTTTATATGTTGAAAAAAAAAATCTGGAGTATATTTTAAAAAAGTGTTTTTAAAAATATATTTTGTTAAAATAACTTTTTTTATATGTTGAAAAAAAAAATCTGGAGTATATTTTTAAAAAAGTGTTTTTAAAAATATATTTTGTTAAAATAACTTTTTTTATATGTTAAAAAAAAAAAATCTGGAGTATATTTTAAAAAAGTGTTTTTAAAAATATATTTTGTTTAAATATATGCTTAAGATTTTTTTTTTAACATAAAAATTTTAAAAAAATATATTTTTAAAAACACTTTTTTAAAATATACTCCAGATTTTTTTTTTTAACATATAAAAAAAGTTATTTTAACAAAATATATTTTTAAAAACTTTATATTTTAACAAAATAAAAAAAAAAAAAAATTTTTTTTAAAATATATTTTGTTAAAATAACTTTTTTTATATGTTAAAAAAAAAATCTGGAGTATATTTTAAAAAAGTGTTTTTTTAAAAATATATTTTGTTTAAATATATGCTTAAGATTTTTTTTTTTTAACATAAAAATTTTAACAAAATATATTTTTAAAAACTTTTTTTTTTTTTTTTAAATATACTCCAGATTTTTTTTTTTTTTAACATAAAAGTCATTTTAACATTTATTTTTTATATATATTTGTAAATGCATTCCAAAAAATGTAGCTTTGTATTTTTAAAGACATACAGTATATTTGATATGTTTTATAGCAAAAATATTGTTTTTCTCAAAATTTGCAGTCTTTTTTTGTTTATAGCACAACAAAAAAAAAAAACCGTCACTGGTGATCAAAGAAAGCTTCCCATATGGAAGAAAAAAAAAATATTTGAAATACTACAATTTTGGCCATATTAAATATACACATATATATACACATATTGTGTGTGTGATATATATATATATATATATAGTGTGTATATTTAATATGGCCAAAATTGTAGTATTTCAAATATTTTTTTTCTTCCATATGGGAAGCTTTCTTTGATCACCAGTGACGGTTTTTTTTTTGTTGTGCTATAAACAAAAAAAGACTGCAAATTTTGAGAAAAACAATATTTTTGCTATAAAACATATCAAATATACTGTATGTCTTTAAAAATACAAAGCTACATTTTTTGGAATGCATTTACAAATATATATAAAAATAAATGTTAAAATGACTTTTATGTTAAAAAAAAAAAAAAAATCTGGAGTATATTTTAAAAAAGTGTTTTTAAAAATATATTTTGTTTAAATATATGCTTAAGATTTTTTTTTTAACATAAAAATTTTAACAAAATATATTTTTAAAAACACTTTTTTAAAATATACTCCAGATTTTTTTTTTTTTTTAACATATAAAAAAAGTTATTTTAACAAAATATATTTTTAAAAACTTTATATTTTAACAAAATAAAAAAAAAAAAAAAAAAATTTTTAAAATATATTTTGTTAAAATAACTTTTTTTATATGTTAAAAAAAAAAAATCTGGAGTATATTTTAAAAAAGTGTTTTTAAAAATATATTTTGTTTAAATATATGCTTAAGATTTTTTTTTTTAACATAAAAATTTTAACAAAATATATTTTTAAAAACTTTTTTTTTTTTTTAAATATACTCCAGATTTTTTTTTTTTTTTTTTAACATAAAAGTCATTTTAACATTTATTTTTATATATATTTGTAAATGCATTCCAAAAAATGTAGCTTTGTATTTTTAAAGACATACAGTATATTTGATATGTTTTATAGCAAAAATATTGTTTTTCTCAAAATTTGCAGTCTTTTTTTGTTTATAGCACAAAAAAAAAAACAAAACCGTCACTGGTGATCAAATACCACCGAAAGAAAGCTTCCCATATGGAAGAAAAAAAATATTTGAAATACTACAATTTTGGCCATATTAAATATACTGTACACATATATATACACATATTGTGTGTGTGTGATATATATATATATATATATAGTGTGTGTATATTTAATATGGCCAAAATTGTAGTATTTCAAATATTTTTTTCTTAGATATGGGAAGCTTTCTTTCGGTGGCATTTGATTGCCTGTGGGTTTTTTTTTTTTTTTTTTGTTTTTTGTTTTTGCGCTATAAACAAAAAAAGACTGACAATTTTGAGAAAAACAATATCTTTGACTTTTTGCTATAAAACATATCCAGTAAAAAAAAAAAAAAAAAATCTAATTTCGTCATAATTCAGGGCAAACTGTATTCTGCTGCTTGTCTTTACTAAAAAAAAAAAAAAAAAAATACGTGTAAATTAATTGGTTTCTGTGCAAATGGCGGTGTATATATACTGGAATTTGATTTTTTTTTTTTTTTTTTACTAGTAATAGCGGCGATCAGCGACTTATACCTGGACTGTGGCGGGCATTCTGACACTGGGGGGGAACTGACTTGGTGTCACTGACATCCCCAGTGACATCAATACAGTGATCAGTGCTAATACCAAGCACTGACACTGGACTAATGGCACTGGAGAGGAAGGGGTTAACATGAGGGGCGATCAAAGGGTTAACTGTGTGCAGGGAGTGTTTTTTACTAGGGGGGGTGGGGTGTGCGTCACTGTAAGCATACTGCTCTAATGGCACGGGGCAAGAAGGGGTTAACATAAGGGACGATCAAAGGGTTAACTGTGTGCTGTGTGAGTGCTTTCCACTGTAAGCACACTGCTTTGTATGGTGCCCCCTACCCAGACATGCAAAATCACGTGTGTATATATATGTGATTTTGCGCACCCGTGCCGTCCTGTAGCAGTATTTTCGCTATAGGGCAGCGAGGAAACGGTTAAATAAACATCTAATAGTTTTGCACACAGCAGCTCTGATCCTCCTCCTCCTCCTCTTAGGTCCCCTGTCTGTGCTCCTGGCTCCTCCCCCCTACTGAGTGCCCTCCCATAGCAAGATAGTTGCTATGGGGGCATGCGAGCGTGCTTGCTCCCGAGCCCTGCTCTGTGTCTATAGACACTCCTCCGAGGGCGGCTCAGCCCCACCCCCCCGATCACTGGCTGTGATGGACAGCAGTGGGAGTTAATGGCTCCTAATGCTGTCTCTGAATCAGTGAGGAGGAAGAGAGCCGGGACAGTCACTGCACTCATGCAGATCGCTGGATCAAGATTTGGCTCAGGTAAGTATTATGGGAGCTACATAGAGAAGTTTTTTTTTTTTTTTTTTTTTTTTTTTTTTTTTTGTTTTTAACTTTTGTGCATAGAATGCTCAAGCACACCCTTTCCTGAATGAACAGAATGAGTGATTGGTACTGATCATTCAGTGTTCATTCATAACTGAAGCATAGTAAACTGGGTTTCTTTTTTTTTTTTTTGGGGGGGGGGGGGGGGCCATGGTCAGGTCGGCTGTATGGGGCCCCGTGGTTTCTAACAGCCCTGATCACAGCTTATTAGACAAGAGCAGGGGCTAGGGCCAAGTCACGCTGTGTATGTCAATGGATGCACACAACACGGTTCGGAAGCGAGCCTGCATGAGCGGGGGGAGGAGCCAGGAGCGCTGGCATGGGACCCCAGAAAGGAGGATCGGGGTTGCTCAGAGCAGGTAAGTATGACATGCTTGTCATGTGTTTTTTTTTTTTTTTTTTTTTTTTTTTTTAAATACCTTTACAATTACTTTAAGACCATTTTTCAGCAGTGAGGTTGATTAGAAAATTTTTTTTTTTGTTTTTTTATCAACCTCACTGCTGAAAAATGGTCTTAAAGTAATTGTAAAGGTATTTAAAAAAATAAAAAAAAAATTTCTATTTCTTTTTTTTTTTTTTTTCTTTTGAAGATTCTAAAAGTGGTGAAAATTCACTTCGCAAAGAAAAAAAAGAAATAGAAAAAAATAAAAAATATTTTTTTAAATACCTTTACAATTACTTTAAGACCATTTTCAGCAGTGAGGTTGATAAAACAACAAAAAAAAAGTTATTAAAAAAATTTATTTTTTTTTAATTTTTTTTTTTTTTTCTTTGCATGTTTGGGTGTTCTTTGCGAAGTGAATTTTCACCACTTTTAGAATCTTCGGAGTGACCATGTGGTTTTTAACATCCCTTCTGGTCTAGATTAAAATGATGTCCCAGGAGCCTTTGGGAGGGGAAGAGGAGTTTTCTCTGCTAAGCACACCCTCCTGCTTGCATGCCTCAGCTAAGGGCAGATGGATTCCAGGAAGTAACGTCTACAAGAATCCTCTGCCCTTACTCAAGATGGCTGTGAAATGCTAGAGAGGTGTTTTTTCAAAGCTATTTCTCAACAAAATAAAGCATGGAGCCATGGATGGATGGATGGATGGATGGATGGGGGGAGGTTACTTGGAATTTGAAAATTGAGTTAAATAGCACTTTCAGTTTGTAGACTTCAGATACAATTTAAATTTGCTTATAAAAAAAAAATATATAATAGGAATCTATAAATATAAACTATATTGCCCAAATGTATTGGGACGCCTGCCTTTCCACACCCATGAACTTCAAGGGCAGGACAGTCAAGTTCCTCCACCCCAACCTGGCTCCTCCATGTTTTGATGGACCTGGCTTTGTGCACTGGTGGGCAGTCATGTTGGAACCAGGGGTGGACTGACCATTTGGAAACTCGGGCACTGCCCGAGGGCCCGGGGTAGGTAGGGTTCCCCATGAGATGTTCCTGGTACCTTTTTTAAGTTTGGGCAAGGACACAGGGGCCCCATGATACCCCTATTGCCCGGGGGCCCCATGAGTTGTCAGTCCGCCACTGGTTGGAACAGGAAGGTGCCATCCCCAAACTCTTCCCACAAAGTTGGAAGCATGAAATTGTTCAAAATGTCACCTTAAGAGGTTCCTTCACTGGAACTAGGGGGCCAAGCCCAAGCCCTGAAAAATAACCCCACACCATAATCCCCCCTCCACCAAACTTTACACTTGGCACAATGCAGTCAGGCAAGTACTGTTCTCCTGGCCACCGCCAAACTCAGACACGTCCATCAGCTTGCCAGACAGAGAAGCGTGATTGGTCACTCCAGAGAACACGCCTCCCCTGTTCTAGAGTCCAGTGGCGGCGTGCTTTACACCACGGCATCCGACGCTTTGCATTGTACTTGGTGATGGAAGGCTTGGATGCAGCTGCTCGGCCATGGAAACCCATTCCATGAGCTCTCTACACACTGTTGTTGGGCTCATCTGAAGGCCACACCAAGTTTGGAGGTCTTTAGCTATTGACTCTGCAGACAGTTGGCGACTTCTGCGCACTGTGCGCTTCAGCATGCGCTGACCCCGCCCTGTCATGTGACGTGGCCTACCACTTGGTGGCTGAGTTGCTGTTGTTCCCAGTTGCTTCCACTTTGTTATAATCCCACTAACAGTTGAGCGTGGAATATTTAGTAGCCAGGAAATGTCACGGATGGACTTATTGCACAGGTGGCCACCTATCACGGGACCACGCTTGGAGTCACTGAGCTCCTGAGAGCGACCATTCTTTCACCAATAGGGAGGGGATTGGAACCCCTGACTCACATGATTGGGAGGGGATTGGAACCCCTGACTCACATGATTGGGAGGGGATTGGAACCCCTGACTCACATGATTGGGAGGGGATTGGAACCCCTGACTCACATGATTGGGAGGGGATTGGAACCCCTGACTCACATGATTGGGAGGGGATTGGAACCCTTGAATCACATGATTGGAACCCTTGAATCACATGATGGAACCCCTGAATCACATGATTGGAACCCCTGAATCTAATGATATGGAGGGGATTGGAACACCTGAGTCACATGATATGGAGGGGATTGGAATCACATGATTGGAACCCCTGAATCACATGATTGGAACCCCTGAATCACATGATTGGAACCCCTGAATCACATGATATGGAGGGGATTGGAACACCTGAATCACGATATGGAGGGGATTGGAACACCTGAATGTAATGATATGGAGGGGATTGGAACACCTGAATGTAATGATATGGAGGGGATTGGAACACCTGAATCACATGATATGGAGGGGATTGGAACCCCTGAATCACGTGATTGGGAGGGGATTGGAACCCCTGAATCACGTGATTGGGAGGGGAATGGAACCACTGAATCACGTGATTGGGAGGGGATTGGAACCCCTGAATCACGTGATTGGGAGGGGATTGGAACCCCTGAATCTAGTGATTGGGAGCGGATTGGAACCCCTGAATCACATGATTGGGAGCAGATTGGAACCCCTGAATCACATGCTATGGAGGGGATTGGAACCCCTGAATCACATGCTATGGAGGGGATTGGAACCCCTGAATCACATGCTATGGAGGAGATTGGAACCCCTGAATCACATGATATGGAGGAGATTGGAACCCCTGAATCACATGATTGGGAGGGCGGGGCCAATACTTTTCTCCATATAGTGTATAATCACGCACACACGCCATCTTTACCAGCATACAACTTGAATGACATGTTCATCCCCCTCGATGATCGAAGTCACCCGTTGAGAATGGAAATGACGATGTTTCACCTTCTGTACAACCCCTCCCCTCCCGTCACTCACCGGTGTTCAGCGCAGAGCGGCAGTGCCAGGCGTTGTTCTGTCGGCTGCAGATTTCCCACAGAGACAGAGAGAAATACTTGGATGTCACCCAGGAAGGGCTGACCAGGGCCACCACATTCATAGACAAGGCCAGGAACCCGCAGAGAGAGCACCACAAAAGTGAACTGTCTGGGGGGCATCGCCGGGGGGAGCCTTCCACTCTCGGGGGACATCCTTCACTCCTCCACAAATGTTCCAATGTACTACAGAGGTGCGTTTTCAGCAGTCTCACTTAACTGCTCAATATCTGCACCCTGTTCAGCTTCAGCCACATCAACCTGTCAAATGTCAATGTTGTGCTGGTTGTGTCCTGGAGGGGCCACATGATGCTGACGCCAAACAATGTGCAACACAAACCGGAGCTTCAGCACAGAGCTCTCTGGATGCAGCTGGCGATGGGGTTTTGTTCCTTGTGCAGCAACCAATACCGTACGGGAATACAAGAAACACATGACACCGGCCCGCAGCAGGGGGACACCGGCCCTAATGGGTGACATGGGGGCTTCAGGACAGACCGGGACATAGCAAACCGCAATCTGAAGCAGCATTTCTCTGCCCTTTATAGTCCAAGATGTGCAAAATCTCAAGGCACCCTCGTCTAACATGGGGGCTCCGAATCACATCAACTGCCCCCCTTTCACATCAGAGTCCCCCATTCACAGGACATTCCCTAGTCGTCGGTCCCCCCCCCTTCCCCTCACAACAGAGTCCCCCATTCACAGGACATTCCCTAGTCGTCGTCCCCCCTTCCCCTCACAACAGAGTCCCCCATTCACAGGACATTCCCTAGTCGTCGTCCCCTCCCCCTTCCCCTCACAAGAGTCCCCCATTCACAGGACATTCCCTAGCCCCCCCCCTTCCCCTCACAACAGAGTCCCCCATTCACAGGACATTCCCTAGTCGTCGTCCCCTTCCCCTCACACAACAGAGTCCCCCATTCACAGGACATTCCCTAGTCGTCCCCACCCCTTCCCCTCACATCAGAGTCAGTCCCCCCCTCTCTCACATCAGAGTCCTCCTTCCAGTCCTCATTTACATTAAAGTCCTCAGTCCCCTTCACATCAGAGAGTCCTCAGTCCCCTTCACATCAGAGTCATCCATTCACATCACAGTCCTCAGTCCCATTCTTCTCCCCTTCACATCAGAGTCCTCCATTTACAGCACAGTCCTCATTCCCCTCCTCTCTCTTTCACATCAGAGTCCTCCATTCAAATCACAGTCCTCAGTCCCCTTCACATCAGAGTCCTCCATTCAATCACAGTCCTCAGTCCCCTTCACATCAGAGTCCTCCATTCAAATCACAGTCCTCAGTCCCCTTCACATCACCAGTCCCTCCATTCACATCACAGTCCCTCAGTCCCCTTCACATCAGAGTCCTCCATTCTGTCCTCCAATCACATCACAGTCCTCAGTCCCCTTCTCCCCTTCACATCAGAGTCCTCCATTCATCACAGTCCTCCCCTTCACAATCATTCAAATCCTCAGTCCCCTTCACATCAGAGTCCTCCATTCACATCACAGTCCTCAGTCCCCTTCACATCAGAGTCCTCCATTCACATCACAGTCCTCAGTCCCCTTCACATCAGAGTCCTCCATTCACATCACAGTCCTCAGTCCCCTTCACATCAGAGTCCTCCATTCACATCACATCACAGTCCTCAGAGAGTCCCCTTCAGTCCTCCCCTTCACATTAGAGTCCTCCATTCAAATCACAGTCCTCAGTCCCCCTTCACATCAGAGTCCTCCATTTCAGTCCTCAGTCCCCTTCACATCAGATCACAGTCCTCAGTCCCCCTCTCTCTTTCACATCAGAGTCCTCCATTCAAATCAGTCCTCAGTCCCCTCCATTTCACATCAGAGTCCTCCATTCAAATCACAGTCCTCAGTCTCCTTCTCCCCTTCACATCAGAGTCCTCAAATCAGTTCAGTCCCATCACAGTCCTCCCATCACAGTCCTCCCCCTTCCCCTTCACATCAGAGTCCTCCATTCAAATCACAGTCCTCAGTCCCCTTCACATCAGAGTCCTCCATTTACAGCACAGTCTGCAGTCCCATTCTCCCCTTCACATCAGAGTCCTCCATTCACATCACAGTCCTCAGTCCCCTTCTCCCCTTCACATCAGAGTCCTCCATTCAAATCACAGTCCTCAGTCCCCCTTCTCCCCTTCACATCAGAGTCCTCCATTCAAATCACAGTCCTCAGTCCCCCTTCAAATCACAGTCCTCAGTCCCCTTCATCAGAGTCCTCCATTTACAGCACAGTCTGCAGTCCCTTTCTCCCCTTCACATCAGAGTCCTCCATTCAAATCACAGTCCTCAGTCCCCTTCTCCCCTTCACATCAGAGTCCTCCATTCAAATCACAGTCCTCAGTCCCCTTCACATCAGAGTCCTCCATTTACAGCACAGTCTGCAGTCCCCTTCTCCCCTTCACATCAGAGTCCTCCATTCAAATCACAGTCCTCTCCCCTTCTCCCCTTCACATCAGAGTCCTCCATTCAATTCACAGTCCAGTCCCCTTCACATCAGAGTCCTCCATTTACAGCACTTCAGCAGTCCCCTTTCCCCTTCACATCAGAGTCCTCCATTCACATCCTCAGTCCTCCATCCTCAAATCACAGTCATCAGTCCCCTTCACATCAGAGTCCATTTACAGCCAGTCTGCCCCCTTCTCCCCTTCACCCCCCATTCACATCACTCCTCCATCCCCCTTCACACATCACAGTCTTCAGCCCCCTTTCCCCCTTGGCCTTACACTCAGTTCACATTCAGAGTCCTCAGCCCCCCCCCCCCACTCTTCCTTCACATCAGATTCCTTGGCCTTACACTTTCACATCAAAGACCTCTGCCCCCCTTTCACATCAGAGCTCTCAGTCCTCTCCTTTCACAGCAAGGTTCCCAGAGGTGGGACAGCATGTAGAGGGGAGGTGGAGGAGATGAGACATTCTGGAGAATGAAGGCAGAGAAGAGCTGACACTGATGGAGGAAGGAAGAGGAGAGGGGCCAAACTATGGCAAGGAGAGTAGGGACACTATGGAGAGGGAGGAAAGGAGGGACACTATGGAGAGGGGAGACAGAGGAGAGGAGGGGCATTATGGAGAGGGGAGACAGGAGAGGAGGGGCATTATGGAGAGGGGAGACAGGAGAGGAGGGGCATTATGAAGAGGGGAGACAGGAGAGGAGGGGCATTATGGAGAGGGGAGACAGAGGAGAGGAGGGGCATTATGGAGAGGGGAGACAGGAGAGGAGGGGCATTATGGAGAGGGGAGACAGAGGAGAGGAGGGGCATTAGGAGAGGGGAGACAGGAGAGGAGGGGCATTATGGAGAGGGGAGACAGAGGAGAGGAGGGGCATTATGGAGAGGGGAGGTGGAGGAGAAAGGCGACATTATGGAGAGGGGAGGTGGAGAGGAGACTTGAGAGGAAATAGAAGAGTGCAATGAAGAGGGTGGGGAAGAAGATGCTTGGCATAATGGAGAGGGGAGGTGGAGGAAAGGAAGGGCACTATGGAGAGGGCAGGTGGAGGAAAGGAAGGGCACTATGGAGAGGGAAAGTGGAGGAGAAAAGGGACATTTTGGAGAGAAAGGGCACTATGGAGTGGGGAGACAAAGAAAAGTAGGGACACTATGGAGAGGAGAGGTGGAAGAGAGTATCAAAACAATGGAGAGGAGGGACACTGGAGAGGGGAGGCAGAGGAAAAGAAGGACATTATGGAGTGGGGAGGTGGAGAGTAGCAACACTGGAGAGGGGAGGCGGAAAAGAGGAGAGACACTACGGAGAGGGGAGGCGGAAAAGAGGAGACACTACGGAGAGGGGAGGCAGAAAAGAGGAGAGACACTATGGAGAGGGGAGGCGGAGAAGAGAAGGGACACTATGGAGAGGGGAGGCGGAGGAGAGAGGACAGAGAGGGGACAGAGGAGGGACAGAGAGGGGAGGAGGAGAGGAGGGACAGAGAGGGGAGACGGAGGAGAGGAGAGGGGAGGCGGAGGAGAGGAGGGACAGAGAGGGGAGGCGGAGGAGAGGAGGGACAGAGAGGGGAGGCGGAG